AATTTATCCATAGTGTTTGTTTCGTATAATAAACAATAATACGATCCAGTAGTACTCAATCTTTTCTACCCAACATGCCAATATATAAATTAGTTGCTCGTTAAGCTTGCAGAAACTAATAGTAAGATACAAGTACAATGAAATTGAAGTGACTACAGAATACTGGTAGAAATTTAAGCAAATAGACAAAAAGAATTGAGAAAAATGCAAAGGGGGAATTGAATAATAAATCATAGGAAAGTTAGTACCTTGAATCGGCGAGTTTCAGCAAGTTGTTGAAGTCCATTTATGGTCTGAAACTCGATCGGCATTGACGAAAAGCTTCTCCCCGTCATCTTGGAGTGTCAACTTGAGCGAGCTTCTGTGTAAATTACGATCAAGAATGAGAGTTGTACGAAGGGTTGGGTTTGATTTCATTTCAGTACAATGTCTATTTATAATTGTAATGTTAATAACTATAAAAAAAAACAACAACCAATAATGCTCCTCGGCAAATGACAGGATTGGATTTGGAGTGGCAGGATTGAGAACGTGTTTGGTATCGATTAAAATTTAATTAAAATTAAAAATATAATCGTTATTGGGCTCCACTCGTCTAATAAAAGTCAATAATAATATTTAATTTTTCAATTTTAATCTGATTTTAATCTCTATCAAACGGGCTTTNAATTTTTCAATTTTAATCTGATTTAAATCTCTACCAAACGATGCTTAGGCTTTTTTTTTTTTTTTTTCCGAACTATCTAATCACGTATTGACATTTATTTCCTCTGTTATTAATTTTGTAGTTGAGCGTGAGATGTACAAATAAGGAATTTATTTTGACCTAAAATGTTTCAACTTTATGAAGTCCAAAAATAAATAAAAAAATTTATTACCCAAAATAAGTTGAGTCGCGAATTTTATAAGTCAAGTTAAGAATTCCGTTATGAAATTTAAATTTTTTTGGGTAATTAACATGAAACATTCTTATCATTTTTATTCATTGTGCAAATCGTCTCTATCATTTCACTTTTGATATTTTGTTCATCGGATCGATCATTCTAGAGGTGTCAGACGGACGAACCGACCAAATCCGTGAAAATCGACCCGGATCGATTCGGAATCGTGGGTCGACCCGTGACCCGAGCGGGTGATTCACGGGTCAAGAAAGTGTGACTCGCGGGTTTCGCAGGTTGCACCTTCACGGGCAGCGGTTAACTCGCTGACCCGTGAAAAAGAAAAAATTTAAAATTTGAAAAAAATGGGGGAGACAGTCGTTCTACTTATATTATAAATATTTGATAATAGTAATTAGAAATACATTTAGTTGTTATTTGTTTAAATTAAATTTAACTTTACAAAGTTATAAATAATTTATGTAATATTAAATTTGGAATTCTATGCAAATATTTTTTGGTATAAATATGAATTTATCATTTTGTTCAATTTTTAGTTTACATTTAACAAAAAAAATATTTTTTACTATAAATATGAAAAATTATATATTTTTATAATGTTATTTATAAAATAATACATGACAAATTGGAACAAACCGCGACCCGCGCGACCCGTGACCCTCATAGGCTCTACCCGGATGGGGCAGCGGGCAGGCATGGGTTGTAATTCAAAATTTGTGGGTCGATCCGGAACCGGCCCAGAACCCGTAGCGGTCGGACTTTTTTTCACGCGGGCCATTACCAGACTTATATGTTGGCGGGCTGACCTGTCTCGACTCGGACCACCAGGATTGACACCTCTAAATCACCCATTTCTCTCGTTTTGTCCATTTGCTCCGTCAAATGGTTATGCGTAGTCTACTCGTACATTTGCCCCGTGATTAGTCAACACACTATTTGGCCATCTTCCTAGTCTAAACCTAGTCATTCTGAAAAATGGTAATGTTAAGTGTATCAATTATATGTTTATGTATGTACTACGTATAGATGTGTATAAAAAAAAAATCATATCTAGATTTAAATATGTAAAATTGTACATAATTTTTCTGTACGAGAGAAGAACAATGGATCACAATGTTACCCCTATGTTATCTTTGGGATGTGCTAGTGGTACATAATGGGCACCATAATGGTGTCCATAATGGACACATGGTGCCCATTCATTGGAGGGAGTGTTGGTGGGCCAACACTCCCTCCAATGAATGGGCACCATGTGTCCATTATGGACACCATTATGG